AAAAGTTTGTAATATTAATGTGTTTTAAGTAAATTAATATTATTGATAATTTATTTGATTTTGCAAAGTGTACGTGGAAAATGGAAATAACGGACTTTGTATGCATGCAGGTGAATTGGTTGTTGATTTGACAGTATTATTTTTAGTAATGGTTACTGTTGTTGTTGTTGTTGTTGTTGTAGCGGTTCGCGGTAATAGTTGTCAGAATCACCGGAGTGAGCAAAACGAATTTAGGTACTTTTTATTGTAATTTTTGTTATGTTGTTGTTGTTGTTGTTGTAGCGAGGGACATTGGTTATAACGTCAGCAACTACATTATGTTTCAACTTTTACATCCCGATCGACTTTACAATGAATCTCTAAACCCTACTCGAAGCCGCATAAGGAGGGGCTATGGAGTATGGAAACGCCGTTTTCCAGTACAATTTTGGATTGAAGGTTTCGCTCAGCACAACTATGAACATCATTGTTGCCTATAGAGTCTAGTAAATGTATTGCCATCCAGAATGACTTTAAATTGGATGAAGTCGAAGTTCAAGCGGACGAACCGTCAGAAACATCCCTTGATATCGACGAAAATATAGCTGAGGTGCAAGAAAGTTTTATTATTATTAAAATCCTTTTTTATTCCAAATAAAAATATATGAAATGAATTTCTAAAAATAATATAAAAAAAAATTATTTAACCATATCGTAGAATATAAACAAATACCAGCTGCTTTGCGGTTTTGATAAGCTATCCCGAAGTTAAGCAACCAGAACTTAGTGAAAACGAAAGCGTCACATATGCCTAACTGGCGGTTAACTATCCTTCGATTGTACTTCACCAAGCATTGTGAAAACGATCTTATACTTGAAAATGTGGTCTTTACGATGTAGCCTAATTATGACGACTTCGAAGGTGCTCATTCCCATAGTTGGACGATTTCGGCGATACGTAAGAAATATTTAGAGAATTGTACAATATCAAACATGCCAACAAGTTTGCTTATTTAATGAATGAGATCTCGAACACACAAAAGATATCCAACTACAATATTTTTCGGCTAACCGCCACCCATGAAACAAGTAGCTAATGGCCTTGGATGTGGTCTCAGTCTCAATAAGGGATTGACCACAGATAATGATATAACGTTTAGACTAGACGTGGTGAATTTACTGCTGGTTACCAACAGCAGATAACGAGCTACTAGAGTATATTTCTAAGCAATCGCTTCGTTTCTGCCCCCATGTTATCAAAACGAAATGTATTCGTTAACGTTGAAAAGTTCATTTCAAAATGAATACTTACTATAATTTAACAGCGTACTTCAGATATAACGTTTAACACTATCTGTTAATTATTTAACTTTTATCACAGCTTTTTGTTCATGCTAAAAAAATAATAATAATAAAAAAAATAATAAAAATAAAATAAAATTTGTTTTGATTAACGTTTTAACCGAAACGATAAATAAATTTTGATTAACGTGAAATTTATCGTTACGAAGCAGCCTTGCTTAATACTGTTAAATAAAAATGTGGTTTAAATCCTTTCCAGGAGACTCATATAGTGCTCAGAAAAGGGCATCTCATAAAGTAGCCGATAAAACCTCGTTAACAAATACAGAAAGGTTTGATGTCAAATATGTTCGATGTAAACATATTGGCCCGAGCGAAAATTTAATTATACGTCAATCGTATGCACAAATTGGGATTCTGACATAGGAAACAGATGCAAGTTAATCTCATTCTACTCATTCCATTCTAATCACAATAGGTTTTAACTTTCACTTGAGTTTTAGGTTCTAAGTTAAGGTCACAAAAGATGTGAAATTGTAAGAATTTGTTCAAAAATAAATTAATTTAAGCAAAAAAAAAAAAAAAAAACTAAATCAACAGGGTTAACTTTCATATTTCAGTTGAAGTGACGACGAGAGTGATGAACAATTAATTATTAGGAAGTGAGTTTCACAGAACGGTTGCAAATATGAATGCGAGCCAAACAACTCCTCTTCGTAGGATACTCCATCAGTTCTTATTTTAGAGATCGGATTTATTTTAAATAGAATTTTTATTAGACTCAGCTTATTTACAAAAGAGTTCCTTAAGATTCTAATTATGTACTCACTATAATTTCCTTTCCTATAATTTATCGCGGTGTAGATTGGCTACATACTTTTTTTCAAATTCTGGCGTTCCGTCATTGATTTTTTTTTAAAGGTTGCAACTTATTGTAATTGGTTTAAAAATTCTATATTGTTTTCAAAATTTTGCATATATTTTGTACGAGGGTTGCTATTTATATTTTGAGATTTGGCATACCAACAATTTTATACGTAACTTTGATATTTTTGATGTTATACATGCTCAGAATGTTTTGACATACGAGCGCTTGCTGTGTTATTTATAGTAACGTAAAATATTCATCTCGGTTAAAAAATGCAATTAAATCGTGAACATTTCCGCTCGGTTATTTACAGCCATCGACGTAGATTTACTTAGAAACAGTGAAGCGATGAACTTAATTAAATTTTTGGTGATGAATCTTAATCAAATAGTAGTGTTTATGGATGCTGTGGTGAATTCAATCGAAGCCGTATATCACTCCAAGATGAGTGAAGTTGTCGTACCGGTAAATTTTGATGCTGTTCACAAAATGATGTGGCAAAATCATTATGAAAACTGAATAGGGGGCGACCGCACCGCCAGAAAAACGTAGAATATAACAGAAGTTCTGAATGATATACAACCATCTCTTTGCCATTTATTTCTCAAAATATCAGGGAAACCAACTGCTGAAGATGGATCCCTACGACAATTAGAGCTCTTACACCTTCTCCGGAAGAACTACCAATTAGAAACGATGCTTATTTTAAATTCAATGATCTTTTGCCCATTAAAGCACGCAATTTCATGATTCGTTTTCCAGTTTTATTTAAACATATACAAAACTTAAAGTCATATTTTAAGCACTTTATTCAAAATTAATTTTTAGACATTTTTTTCACAAAAACCAATGAAATTCATGAATTGAGTGCGATACCTAATTAGAAACGAGAATATTTTATCAGAAAAATATAATGATATTAAGATAATAATGCTTCAACACTGCCTCACACCGATTTCGCATTGATGTTAAAAGATATCGACAACGAGTCACTGATATTGCTTGCCATGCCGTTCTTACTTCCTAAAAAAGCATATCCATTATTGGGACACTTCTAATACTAGCGACTCTTTTAACGTCACCCTAGAGGGTTAAAGTCTGGACTGGATAATGGCCATTCTAAAACAATGATGGATTTTCCGTAAAAAAATTTTTTCGTCTCCTCAGCCCAAGGCAACATAACATTTTCTAGTATGACGACGTATTTCTCTTTATTTAAAATTTCATTTATCCTATAGAGTGGACCAACACGATTAAAGAAAAGACTTCCCCAAACCATAATTGATCCTCCACTTTGCTTCAATACGCCTAAACCATAACGAGTAATAAGTTCTTGGTTAATGAACCGTCGAGCATACCTTCCGCCCTCAGGACCAATGCTTTTATTTTTCATTTATAGTTCCAATTGACATAACTTGACGTCGTTTTCTTTGAACTTGATAAGAAGCGATTTCTTGCGTGCTGCTTTTTCATGAAGTCCACATTCGAACAAATGCCGTTGTTGTGTTGTTGTTGTAGCGGTTCGCTAACCCCGCTTAGGCACAGGTTTGGTTAAACTAAGTCGCCGAGGTCATCTAATGGGAGGTCCAGGAAACGAGCTATTGCGATGGGGTTGGACCAAAGGAAGAGGGGGGTTAGATGAGTTGGTTTGAGAGGACATGTGAAGAGGTAGTTAGTGTCGCGCGGAAACTCTCCACATGCAGTGCATACGTTGGGTATGATGGGGTTTTGCCTGGATAAGTAGGAGTCTAACCTGCTGCAGTATCCAGACCTGAGTAGTGCCAGGGGCACGCGGATCTCTCGAGGCAGCTCGAGCTCGTTGTCTGTTATGGTTGGTGGAAGGGAGTTTTGGAAGGTGTTGACTGACTCCTGGTGAATGGCGTTCAGTGTTTGTCTGTACGCCGTGCTGTCCAGCGGTTGTTGCACGTGTTGCTGGATTGTGTCCGTTAGATATAATTCTCCCTTTCTGAAGTGCCTAGGTGGAAGTTCGGCTTCTATTAAGTGCCTATTGTGGTGGTCCCTGTGGCAGCACACCCGTGCAAGTGCTCTCTTCGCTATTTGAACAATGAATTTATCCTGTATTTCACGATGAACGTCCGAGGAACTCTTTTTTGAGTCTCATCGCGAGATCGCTGCTAGCATGTAGTCTATTCCTGTTGAAGTTTTCCGGAGTGCGGCGTTTACAAAAGTTTCAAAAATCTGGATATGCTTTGAGCAGTTGACTTGCTCCAGCTCTACGAAGGTCAAAAATAGCGCTACGTTTCTAAGAAACTATAACGGTGAATTCGCAAATTTTACTATTAATTATTACTCAACAAGCACTTACAAGAAGAGAGCGTTTCTACTTAGTTGTCAACAGCTCTAACATATTGACGTAGATTACACGGGTTTTGTAATACAGTCGTGTATCTTATAACTCGATCTCTGCTTTCCAAGAGTACTTGCCAAGAACACTCCTTATGCCAGAGAACTATGTATGGGGCACGACGTTTCGAGCAATCCAACTTCCTCTCACTGCAGTGGAAACATAACAAATAAAGAGAGTGTATCCGTGGCCCCACTTAATGGACCATGACATTGTTCGAATAGCGTTAGCTCATTTGTCTTTCGTATCACCACCAAACCAGGAGTACCCAAGCGTAGTCGCCAATATTGCCCACTGCTTCAGATATATTGGCTCCGAGACGCCTTTTAATTTGAGACATGTGAAATGTCAAAGGCCAAAAGAGTTCTCCCATTAAACAAAATTAAATTAAACACTAAAATAATTAAATTCCCTTCATTTCTATTGAGCGTAGCCGTTTTTGGTCTCATGCACATAATATAATTGATTTCATACAACAACACTTACCAATTGCTTTTGCAGACTCGCAGCATCGCCCATCAAAGGCCCAACACTCAGTGAGGACTGTTCGGTATCCTTCCGTATAACCCATTCGGTCAGTTCGCGCAGCGACAACAACAATGCGTTCCAATGTTCCGAATTTGACTCCAAACGATTTCTATAAAAGGAGATGAGAAAAAAATAAAGAAAAAAGCATCGAAATAGTAAATACATTATGTATGTTTGTAAATTAGGACGGGAAGTGAGGTAATAACACGAAAAGGCGCTTGTTAGTGTTGGCAATAAAAAAATGCTAATAATAATATAATTTGGGTAAAATGATGCGATCTGTGCGCTTGAGAGGAACGAAAGTGGTGTGGGCGTGTAAGTCAGCGTCGAAGCTAACGGTTACTTTGAGTATTTTTTTGAAAGAAATTCTGAAAATATGCAAATTGCAGCGTAGCTATGAAATTTAATTTGCCCCAATAAAATGGGTGTCAAATGTACGAATAAAAGAGATGAAAAGGACAAAATAAATTGCGCAATTTGTCGCTGTTGCCCATCTAAGGGTATATGTAAATGCGATGAAGTTGTTAAATTTTAATTTGCTGATTTTCGCTCATCTCATTAATATTTATGAATTGTTGCTCTTCAAAAATGTTCTTTAATTGTTTTGAATATGAAGGATCGAAATACATGCTTAATTGATGAAAAATTGATGAAAAAGAATTGAGGCTTGAACGCAGACAAGATATTTAAGACAAAAAACTATGACTTTTTATAGAAAAATTAAATAATTTTTTCATATAAGGGTCAAAATATTTTCATGTGAAAGTCGGTCTTCAAATACGGTTATCTGTAACACTGAGTACCTGACGTCATTTGGTTTGACCACTGATCGAAAAACTCGTAACCAACTCGACAGCTGAGAGACACATCTTCTTGCTGTGCTTTATATGTGCGTAGTCTTTAGGTCCCGATGTCGACTCTGCCTATAATTTTGGTTATTTTTTCGCAATCAGGATAGCTAACTTACTCTGTGCTGGAATGAGATTTCAAGTTCCCTACGTAACACCCTGCGGCAAATAGTTCGTTTACAATAACCACAGAAAACTATACTCGAAATTCAAGGTCTGGAATTTCAAAAAAAAGAGCCCCTTAATCTATACCAATCATTCTGACACAAGCAATATCGAAAAAACGGTCCTATCCACCGACAGCGAACTGAAAGTATGGCTTCAGAGCTAATAAACCTACCATAGACCGGATAATAAATTAGCGTCAAATCTTTGGAAAATCTCGTGAGATAGAATGACACTCACCAACTCTTCGCCGAATTGCGTAGCCATGCATATTTTACGCTTAAGCTAACTGTCAAAACCGGACCATAAAGTTCATAAAAATTGGGAAGAAATTCTTCGAGCCGCTCGACTCTATTTAGATAGAGAAAGTTAGGAACGAAATATCTCCAGCTATAAGACCCAAAATCAGTGCGTTTTGCTTCTTCTATATATATATATATATATATATATATAATTGGCGCTTTGTAACCGCTGACGAGCTCCACCTCCGATTTGGGGTTTTGTGTCTTGATGTTTTTAAAAAAAAGGAAAGACCTACAGTTAATACTAAGCCACCTCCGAATGACTGATGATTTTTTCACGAGGAACCTTTATTTCATGTCCGAAATACACTCGGAGAGAAACAGCGGCTAGGAACATCAGGACGAGAGTACTTAATCTAATGAACTCCACTCAGTACCGCCTAATAGAATCATTGGTCAGAAAGAGTTACCGGCAGACCCGAAATGCCATTCACAGATAGTCTATCAACACTCCTTTATTAACGCTCTTTCCAGGAATGGCATAATTGGAATCCAATCACTATCCCTAACAGCTGAAGAGCTGTGTACGCCTCTGAAAATCTGAGTGATACTGGTAAAATCAGGCAGGGAGATACTGTGGAAGATTCTGCTTCTAACTACCCAAACTCGATCTTGCTTTGTTTAACGTCTGATAATGTTGAAACAGTTCGATGCCTGAGCGTCCCATTTGGTAAAGTCGACTTGTTACCAGGGGGGTTTTTAGTAAACAAACCGTACCAATGAACGAAAATACTCCAGCTTGGAGAGTTGCTTTATATCCGCTGGTAGAGGCAGAGGAATACGAATCGAATGAATTAGATAAAGAAGAACCCGACTTCACTAGGTGTGTCCGATGGGGAAGAAACGAATGGTGTGCCTTGGTTGACTTTCATCAGTTATGGTACGCTGGTTAAGAAGAACAAGAAGACGAAGATGATGAAGAAGAAGAAGATGATGAAGAAGATGAAGTAGACGAGTAAGAACAATAAGTAGAAAAGGAAGAAGAAGAAGAAGAAGAAGAAGAAGAAGAAGAAGGAGAAGAGCCAGAAGAAGAAGAAAAATAGGAGGAAGAAGAAGTATTAATAAATGTATTCCTATGCCTGCGAGTGGTGCGTTGTCACACAGACAATTTATATTCAGACTAATATAATTTGCCGCTGCTGAAATTGCATTAATAATTCCCATTTATGAAATAGTGTTCTCATTGCTAATTACATTACATTATTTCTTCTCAAGACATTTTTGTGAAATTTCCATTTGCTTGTCGCCGCGTCCTAGAACGATTGGTTGGCAAGCAACGGAATGGCATTTGCGTGATGAAAATATACAAAAATATTCTTCTACCATAGTGATATATATATATATACTTATTGTATATATATATAATATACATATATGTACACATGAAAGGACGCCGAAGACGGAGAAGGCGAAAAATAAAACGGATATGAAATGAAGGAGTCAAATATGGAATTCAAGAGGAGCGTAACCGACCTCGTCAGCTTTGGCATTTATTTATGTCTTTACTTTTCTCTTCCTCCATTCTTTTGCTTATTCTAAGGCGCTTGAACTTTTCTTGTTCTTATTTACTGTTTTCGGTTTTGCGTTATGAAACGTCGAGAAATGTGACGGAAGTCGTCATAAAGCCCAAACACATACGCACAGGAGAAAAGCTCATTGTGTCGGCTTGCTTTTGTTTATTTATTTCAATGGCAAAAAATATGTGCAGAAGCGTTGTGTAATGTGCCTGGTGGCAGTCTATCACAGCTCTTCTGCTTTGGATGGTATCACTTTTTTTTGGTTTCGGCTTCTTTCTGTGAGTTTTGTCTTCGTATTGTTGTCATTATTATTGTATTTTTTTCCCATTTTTACGATTGCGTGTTTGACGTTCTGTGGTTCTTCTTCTTGTCTTTGATGGCATTTTCACTCCTCGGAGTTGTAATAAAAGCGATATTTTTTGGTGTTGTAGGAGATAATACGAGTAATGACAACAATCAGCTTGATGCAAATAAAAAGCCAAAGACAACAACACAATTAACACTGTACCCAATTCTTCTCCTTAGGCATTTTGCATTTGCGCTTTGCCATTGTCTCACATTAATTTCGGGGGAATGCAAAATGGACATACACATGTACATACTTAACTATGTCTGTACGCAGTGAAACAGCTGGACTCGAAAATTTAAGTTGGTTACTAAAGACAGATAAATAGGCAGGTGCATTACGGACGAGGCTTTAATGCTTTAACGTTTCACGGTATACTCAGCTAGAAAATAATAACTGTTTTCTTATTCTTCGTCTTCGCGAACCCATTTGACGAGAACTCAGCGCACATTTCTAAAACATTTGCTTTATAATCTACCGAAGTTTTCTCTGGTCTTTCATTTCTCGAACAGCTTTTATGAAACAAACACTTCGACGAGCTGCAGAACGGCTTTTAAAATGAAATCGATGACCATGAAACAGTCGTCCGCCTGAAGGACAACAAAGCGGCGGAAGCCGATGGCTAACAAGCTGAGTTAAACGGTAATGGCAGCAAAGAACTATCAATGTACCTGCATCAGTCTATTTGAAAGATTTTTATGGGCGCCACATACGTTAACTGGTGTCAGTTGTTGCTGAAACGCATCAAAATCGACGCATTTCTGTAGCAGATGATGACTGGGTATAAAAAGTGGATTATTTACAGTAATTTGAAATGAAAACAGTCGTGGTGGAAGTGCAGTAAGATGGCAGGAATGGTCCTCAAGCCAGGATTGACGGCCGCGAAGGATTTGTTGTGTAGAGGAGACGCTAGATTAAGTAAATCGATAGTGACTCAGTGGCAGTGGAAAGTTCTTATACATCCACTGCACAGTTCGGACTCGCGCATGTGATGACCATATGTTCTTATCTATGGTGAGTGAATTGGCTGTAGAAAAATTGGCAACAAGAGAAGCGTGTGAAAATCATTTCTCTCATATTTATCATAAGGAAGAAGGGGTTTCTATGAGAGAGAGAGTCAACAAGTTATAGAGCACAACGGCGCATAATTGATATAAACTGTATAATTCTAAAAAATACTTAATTTAATGCAAAACAAATGGATTACTTTTTACTAGACCTATTATAAGGTCGTTATGAGCATATTGAGTGAAAAATATCCTCTACAGAATGATACGAATGGCGCGCTATTCTTAATGCGACTATAATGGCGTAAGCGGTGCCCCGCCACTGAGGAAGAGAAAGAAGAAGAAGAACAAAACTGCCTCTGGTTGCTCTCAAGACTTTTAGAAACCATTTTATGACCCATTTTTGACCAAATAAAATCACAAAAACACCAAATTTATACCCAAATATTAAATTTGTTTTCTTTATATTGTGTTCTTTAAACAATTATTCGCTAAGCCAGCTTAAGCTTGTTAAAAAATCTTAATCAATCATTATATCAGGATATAATAATGAAAGTACATAATCTATTATGATGAATTATGAAACTTTAATCACCACCTTCGACGGGGGTGGGGATGACCGCAGGTAGAAGTCGCAAACCGCCATATTTTCGAAATTAACTTTAATTCGAATTGTTCTTGTTTGCTTGGCAAGTTAACATTACAACAAAGGCCAACGTCAACGCACGCAGCGTCCACAACGAACCCGATTTTAATCAGAACCAATACCACTGGAATCCTACGAAAAAAAACAGCAAATAAGAAACTCAAATAAAAGCGCCAAGTGTGTGGGTGTGTGTGTTTGTGAGTCAAGAAAGATAACTCAGGTTAAGTAAAATGCCAAAAGAGTAAGCTAAAAGCACCGTGAAACGCAGTGTTTAAAGG